TTTTTATTTATTTTATTTTTTATTTTTCGGTATGAACAATAATTTTGATGAATTTTGAATGACATTTTTGATAATACAAAGTATTTTATATTTTTTATAATTAAAAGTATTTTATATTTCGTTTATACTAATCCCATAATTAGTTATATTATTACTTATGATTAGTTGAAACAAATTCTTAATTTTTATGGTTCTTTTTGTTTCATTTATTTTTTTGTTTTTTTTTTTTATTTTCTGGTATGAACAATAATTTTGATGAATTTTGAATGAAGAAATGTTTGATAATAAAAAACAAAAAAAAAGGTATATTTTAATTAAAGTTTCATTTTGTTTATGTGAACAATAGAATAAATAGAAGATAACTTAATTAATAAAATGTGAAATCACAATTTGACAATTTGACGATTTGACGATTTAATATAATCCCATAAATATGAAATAATGTGATATAATTTTTTACAGTTACATTTCCGGTATATCAATGCTCGGATTACCAGCAGAGATGTACATTTATGGGACACAATTGTGGAGTATAGTAATTGCAGATTTCTTCGTTTCCATTACAATGGCCATTGTTTATTTGCCAGTTTTTTATGGACTTCAAATTACCTCTTCCTACGAGGTACAATTTTTCCTTAAAAAAAAAAAAAAACCAAACCAAATCAAAAAACAAAAAACCAAAGATTAATTTTTATCAAAATGATTTTATTTTTTTTTTTGCAGTATCTGGAATTGAGATTCAATCGTTTGGTCAGATTAATGGGATCTTTCATATTTATTATCAAAATGGTAAATTATTTTTTTAATAACCTATTATTATTATTAAATCATTAATTTCTAATTAAATAAATAATATCAATTCGTCGTGTAATTATTACTTTTTAACAATTATTTAATTTATTATTATTATTATTAATATTAATATTATCTAAAATAATATATATTTTAGTTACTTTACATACCATTGGTGATATATGTACCAGCATTAGCATTCAATCAAGTAACCGATATTAATCTTCACACTATTGCACTATTGGTCAGCATTGTCTGCATTTTTTACACAACTTTGGTAAATGTTTGAACATGTATTAACATTTTACTTTCATTATAATACATACATGATTGTTTTGATCCTGTTGTAACAACAACACTATGTACCTAATTTTGTTGTTTACTTGTCCAACTTCCCCATAATACATACATACATACATACATACATACATACATACATATATACATAATATGTGTTAATGTAATTTAAGGGTGGTCTGAAGGCTGTTGTCTGGACGGATACAATTCAAATAATGGTTATGTTCGGTAGCGTGATTACTGTTGCTGTATTGGGTACCAACAAAGTAGGTAGTGTCTATGAAGTTTGGAGAAGAAACTTTGAAACTGGAAGAATAGAATTTTTCAAGTAAGATATCTGTTAAATAATAATTCATAACAAAAAGAACAACAACAAGAACAAGAAAAAGAGAAAGAGAAGAAAGATAATGAAGAGTAAATTCATAAATTCCTTAAAACCTATCACAAAGCATTAAATATTGTATACAATACCATAAAATTGTCATTTCATTCGTTGATTGTCATTCGTTCATTTTAGAAACATGAATCAATGATATTGATGAATATTTTGGTTAAATAATTTTTTTTCTTTGTTTTTTTTTTTTTTTTTGTAAAAGATAAGCCTATACAAATTGAATTTACTATACGCAATGATTTTTCCGTAGTCGCTTCTTCTTTCCATTACCTATAGCATGGACCCGGATCCAACTGTAAGGCATACTTTCTGGACCGTAGTTGTTGGTAATTACCTGAATTGGCTGGCAACTTGTTCGGTTAATCAAGCAATGGTGCAAAGGTGTCTGGCTATGCCCAATTTAAAAAAATCCAATATGTGAGTGTTCATTAACAATAATATATATTACGTCATTAAATATGAAATGTTTGATTTCAAAGTGAAAATAATCCGAGTAATCAGACATTTCATTGTTAATAACTAATAATCTTCTTAATATATGTAAATTACGTGTCACGTTGTTTGTGCGCAATGGACTCCTAAACTACTGAACCGATTTGAATAAAATTTCGCACACTGTGTGCAGTTTAATCCAACTTGAAAGATAGAATATCTTAATATATATAAATTACGTGTCACGTTGTTTGTGCGCAATGAACTCCTAAACTACTGAACCGATTTGAATAAAATTTCGCACACTTTGTGCAGTTTCATCCAACTTGAAAGATATATATATAGAAATAATATCCTTGATTTTATTCACTCAACCCTCTCGCCTTTAATTATTATTATTTTTTTTTTGTTGATAGAACGATCATGATAATGGCTGTTGGTATAGTTACAATCGTTTCCTTATGTTGTTATACTGGAATAGTTATTTTCGCAGCATTCTACAAATGTGATCCAATATCAACTAAGGTAGGGTGAAAAAAACGTAACGTAGCATACATACAAACAATATTTACATGTATATAAAGCATAGGGTACTTTCGTATTAACGCCATCGCGGCAAAACTTTCTCTAATGTGCCAATAAAGAGCAATCTTGTTGTTTGTACACAGCAATCGTCAGGGTTGCGTCAGGGTTTCGTCAGGGTTATGGCGACAGCATCAGTTGAAAGAAAATACAGACTGTTTTTAATCTACGTTAAATTCTATATCGGCCCATTTCCCACCGAAATCCGATTAACTAGATTTTATAAATGAAATGTTTTGAATTTTGGAAAGTGTTTTGATTATAAATCAAGTTTTTTATTCTATAATTTGTCGCAACAATTTAAGGTTT